TTCATCTTATCTAGATGGTATTTACCGTGGGCTGATATCGTTTGGAATCCCACTGAAAACCTTGAGTTCCTGAACATCTGTTTTCTATTGGTAGGGACTTCTCAATAGTGTACATCCACTTGTGAGACGATCCAATGGGAGATTTTCTGAAGTTCTAATGAGAAGTTTTGACCGGAGGGACAAATCAAATCGTACATGAGGAAAGATACTCAAAGATTCCCCTGCATGATGGTTGCGTCGTATCACAAATTGACAGAGGTAGGAAAATGTGGACCATTAGATCCTAATCCAGTGGCTCAGTGATAACGTGCTCCCCACAGAACCTGAGTCTCGAATTCGATCCTTTACGAAGCCATGGATAAATGGGACCAAAACGTCTGTATTTCGACCAGTTTACTCAAAGTGACCTTGTAAATGAACCATTAAGAGTGGAAGCTAGTCGAGTGAAATCAAAATTCTGTTTAGGGTTGAGAAACAGTATCAAAAAGTTTTGCCATCAGTGACAAAAGTGATTTTAAAAAAGATTCTCATAACTTCCGTTGGTGAAAACTCATTTACATCCCAGTATAGTGAGGACGAAGTAAACAATCAATCATACGCGTTTGTATCAAAGATTGCGCACAGATGCTGTACATTGTTTACATTAAAGTTCATTGATAAAAATAAACAAATGTCCCATGAAAAACAGAATGTCCTAAATGACGACAATTAAGTGTTCATAACAAATATACTATAATCTAACATTTATTCAAAGAATTTCTGTAACCAAAATGGTGAAGTACATTTGTGTCTTCAAATTGTCTTCTGTGGGTTCATTGTTATATTTTTCTACTACTTTTCCTAGAAAAACACGTTTAATTGAACAAAAATTAATGAATCCCTTAGCTTCACACTTATATATGACAACCATGTGATTGTTATAGAAGAATCCCTATGAAGTAGAAAAATAAATATCTGAAGTTTCGTAGCCCCATGGATGCCACTTGTTCAGAGAATAAAACTTGTACAAGTTATCGTACGTTTAAATAGTAAATTGAGACAAATCAGATCACATTGTGGTTGTTGTTCTTAAACTAGCTATACAAGAATTCTGTAGGTGGGACCTCTTTTAATCTATATCTTCAACTTTCTGTCGTCACTATTTCGAATTTCTTTTTAAACTTCTCCAATTTATACTCTACCATTTCTGTCTTATTTTGCATTAACTTTCTACTGTGTTTCTTTCAGTCTTTTTAACTCTGAAATATAATTACGCAAGAGGCAGGATTATTTTCATTCTTATAGCGTAATAGTTCAAAACCAAATGACAGCAATAACTACAGATCAATATTTGTCAAATAAGTGAACATATTTAAGTTGTATTCAGGAACGCAAAACTCATGAATTACTGATGACACAGGTAATGATTTTTATAGTTGCGGGGAAGTTTGCAGGATTTATGCGAACCCACTGATTTCATATTAAATCCGACTACAATTTTAACTTCGACTTAGCACTTGCAAATATTTTTGCATATATTCCCCACTAAATTCGTAACGTTCTGACAATATTACTATTCCTTCTGTAAGATAAGGTCAACAGTCACTTATTTTGAAGAATATCAAGAAAGCGGGAGAGCTATTTCGTCCTAGTAAGGGACTCCTCAGCAGTGTGCACCCATGACTCCGTCACAGATCAAATCCAGAACCTTCAGCTTGTGGGGTCAGTGCGTTACCATCTAGCCACAGGTTGTGATCCAATGGTTTATATTACCAATCTGAAACTAATACAGGAATCCTTAAAAATCTCCAAGCTGAATTGCTGTCTAGTGCTCACAAACGACCTACTTGGAGATGAGATTCCCGAAGTTCTAATGAGAAGTCGTGACCGATGGATCAGACTCAGTCGGACATAAAGACAAATATTCAACTATAGCATTGGATGATGGCCGCGCTATATCATGAACTGAAGGGAGTAGGGGAATGTGGACCACTAGATTCTGACTCAGTGGATAAATAATAACGTGCTTGCTGCGAAACCTGAACGTTGCGGGTTCGATCCCTGACGGCATCATTGGTGTGCACTGCTGGGAGTAATGTACTAGAAAGAGGCAACTGTCAAGCACTCCCAATTCCTCCAAGTAATATCAGTCCGTAATGAACGGTAACTTGAAATCAATAAATAAATCCCCACAAACCTCCAAACTGAATGGCAAGGAACTATTCCTCATCTTTTCTTGAGAAAATACTACACTTTTCAAAGTAAACTTATCTTCTCCTTTTATTGTGCTGTTATCAGCTGCGAATTCAATAACAGTAAAGGCCCTAGTTACTATGTTATCTCGCGAACTGTTTAATATGAAGAGGTCCGAACTTAGGACTTTATACTTCTTTCATAATAGATTGCAATGCTTATCAAATCTGTGAATTAAATAAAAATGAAGAATAGTGGCTAGCAGTGGAATCTGACATGCACCTTTCGTCCTGTTTGGGACTCGTCAGCTGGACATACTTGCCTCCCAGTGAGCAATGTTGTTCCTACCACCGAATTTAGATTCTTTCCTCCAGTTAACAATTGATTCCAGGGTGGGTAAAAGATAAACTACCACTTTAGGTCACCTTCACTAGTGTCTACCAAAGCGATTAACAGCTCAATTTTTGAGCATCTGGTTAACTCTGGTAACTGTGCTCCACCAGAATCTCCATTCAAAGTTATTTGTAAAGTCAAATCAAACATTACAAAGAGAGTGCGAACTGAGTGGAGCGATCGGTCCTGAGTTCCAGTTTCAATGGGAACAACACCACTCCCTCACATCTATTCTGTAAGGGTTAATGATACTACCACATGCTGTCCAAACCTTGGTAAGACTATGTTAGACTTATAATTTATGTCATCCTTGAATAATTAGATGATATTAGATGAACAGATCATAGATGTGTTGTCTTCGTCACATTTTCTGCAAATAAATGACAATTAATTTTATTTGGAATAACGCAATAAGAACACCATTTGGATAAAACCATTACTTCATTCTACTTCATAGGATTTTCATCAGTTGCATACAACCCGAATAAGTAAACAGTCACTTCAACAAATGTTAACATGCGTTATATGGAGCGTCTTCAAAAATACAAGTTACTGTTTTGAAGATTGAAAAGAAACAGAAATTCAAAATATGAAGAATGTAAAATTAATAAATTCAGCTGGACTGGAAGCATGTTATGCAAGGCAAGTTGAGAAATATTCACAAATGAGCGAGAAAGGATAAGAAATAAGCAGGATCCGTTGTGTTATCACGTGGAAATATTATCTAGACCAAATGATAGGTGGATGAGACTAATATTAATAATAACACAGTAATAATGAAACAACAAACAAGATGAGAACAGGATGAGAATAAGCTTAATCTGAGAAACGTGGCTGAAGAATAGGGCAATAATAAATTCAAAACTACTTTCTTTTGAATAATCAATTCAGGCTGAACTCATCGGCTAGTAATGACTTCAGCGAGTCGCAGTAGGCGCGACGTCTTCTATCGGTTAACTACAATATAGAACATTAGTTTACCTGATATTCTGTATCAAATAGGCGAACGAGGACGAACCTATTAGACGTAGACTCTTTAGCAAGTGCTCAGCGATTCTAGCAGATAACCGCCTCTGTTCTCCTTAAGTACTAGCTTCACATGTACATCCAAACTGACACACACAACTGGAGCAAACAGCCATTAGAAATTTTTCTCACTTGGCTTCAATAATTGCACATGCTGTTTGATACAGTGAGACAAGTCTCACAGCCGTATATGTCATGAATGGTGAACCCTTAATTCATCTCTTGTTGCTTGCCGCCAGACAATCTCCTTTGAAAGCCAAAGTGAAAAACACTGGTTTCTTCTCAACAGTGTAAAGCCTGTCTTGCTAATTACTTTGCAGTAATGATGCACAAACACTTTTCGATTACTTGGCTGGAGGTAATAAGCAGGAATCTCTGGACCTAGATTTTGTGCTTAGTCAGCAGGGTGCACCTGTAACCTCTACGGAACTGATGTCCCTGTGGAACTCGAAGCGGCGCCACCTAGTGTAGCAGTCCCTAACGTTACCACTGAGCTACTCGGGCTGTGATCAACCTCCTGTGGGACTGAATTACATACATTGGCTGATCGCTGCAGAGCAACCAATCTCATGTCTAGTCCTAAGTCCTGACTGACAGAGTTTGGTCACCTCATCTTTATTGCACCATTTTCTTCCTTCAACTTATGCTTGAAATGCAAAGAAAATGAAATTAATTTAACAACTTTAAAATAAAGATGTAATCAGTTAGTTGTGGAACAATTTCTGCCTAACTAATATTACTTGATAAACACCAATTAATGATCACAGTTATTTTGACTTGCACTGAAATCTACTACTGAACGCACTGATAAGATTCCACCAGTCTAACGACACTCATACCTACAAAGCCATAATCTCAAGATTATGCTCTCAGATATGTATTAGAGTACAGAATATGATAGTAGGAAGAAATGACTTTAAAGGTGATTGAAATTCACCAAATCAGGTTATTCTGAAAGAATAGCCTAGATTCAATCGGATATAAGTTTCAATATATTCGCTAAATGATCTCCCGCATACACACACTATAGTCGAAATTTTGAACAGATATATTGTCACCCAAGCGGTGGAATGGTGAAACAGACTAACTTTTTCTGTGAAATTTGACTTGAAATCATAATGATAAGGTAGACACAACACACCACAGCCTTGGAATACTTGTCAGTAAGAACATCAGTGTCATGAGACAACAATTAAGCAACCTAGTTCAGGTCTAGTTACTGGACTGTGATGGTAGACCCCTAATAAGCAGGAACTTGTGACACTATCCAGCTGCATAGTTGGACCCAACAGTGGAAGTAGTCAAAAGTTTCAACTAATTAATTACCGCTTAAATATTGCGGTATATATATACCAAGGTAAACAATGTCGGTGGTTTACACTGTACAAGCGAATTAGCAACACCATCATATGTATATAAGATGTATTGTGTGGTCGTGAGGAAATTAAATGACTTAAACACAATTACAGTAGACATACACATGAATACATACACAGATACGAACCCAAAAAAGGGGATATTAACAATTACTTGTAAAGGATATGAAGAAGAAGACAAGAAAGCAAAAAATAATCTATCACCACTTTTTCTTCTAAGAAGCTAGAAAATAAAGAAAGCCCGAAATAAAGCAAACAAAAAAAAACTAAGATGTCATGAAATAAAATTAGGAAGAGAGTAATATACACATGTAATAAGTGTTGACAACAGATTGTATCATAATACATGCATAACTGGATATTGTTTATTTCTATCTGTTTTAATTATCTTAAATGAAGTATCGAATAACAGAGACTAGATGAATGCATACAGCTTCGCTGTCTGCTAACCAAATAATATTTGTTTCGCAGACTGAGTTCAACATTACTTGTGCAGCTGAAAGTACATAGAAAGGCACCAAAAAAAATTTTTAAACACTTCTAAATCAATTTTAAAGGGGTTAGATACAGAATATAGTTAAATACTTCCAATTAGTTTCGTTCCCCGAAGGTAAAACTGCCGTTTTATACAATCGAGAAAAAGTAGATTTATACTATTTTATAACTTAACATCACTTCTTTGCTCAGTTGTAAATAATAATATCAAGAAATTCAAAAATCCCCCAGCTATTCGCATCCATCATACAGTTTAGTGACATAAAACATCACATGTTTACTCTTACATTAACGTCAAAATCAATCAACTGGAAGATAATGAGTATAAATCTCCTCCAGAGAACAAACTCCCTAACCTTTCATAGATACAGTGTTAAAATCTCTCATTAATTGCAGTTTCCAAAATAGAATTTCTGTCATATCGTCATCATTTCATTTATTTATTTCAGCTTATCCAAACAAGAATTGCCACTCAACTAACGGACTGATATCAATCAAAGAACTATTGAAAACTTGAGACCATAAAACAGCTGTTTCGTTCTGGTATGCAACTCCTCGGCAGTACGTAACCACGATCTCACCAGATGTTGAACTCAGAACAATCAGCATCACGGCGAACGCCCTAACCATTCAGCCATCGGGTCGGAGCTAAATGATCCACTGTCTCCTTGTTAAGGCGTTCACCGCGAGAAGTGCAGGTTTTGATTTCAATCCCTTACGTGGTTGTAGTTGCGTACTCCTGAGGAGTCACATGCTATAACGAAACAACTGTCCAGTGCTATCAGGCTTTCAATAGTCCTCCAACTGCTGTCAGTCCGTGATGAATACAATCTCAAAAAATAAGATCTGCATAAGCTTCAATATACATATACATACAAGTTTGTGCACCAATATATGAACCAGTTGGGCGAAGGCTAATGATACTACTTGACTAATCGGTGTTTATTGATTCTTAATTAACCACGTGATAAAAGTTTACTTCCTAACTAATTGAACAATATACATGAGGAAAGAACAATGAAATATACGTTATAAAAAACTGCTGTTGAAGCATCATGTTATGTGAGAATACATTTCGCGACTGCCCAAACCCGTTCATGTAACCTTATAGTTCCTCTAGTTTACTAACATGATTACTAAATAGTTGGTTAACGTAAAATGCTGAAGAAATACTTTCTGCTTTTTTTTTGGCACACTTCGAGAAAATAGCTAGAAACACTTTTAAAATGTACACAAAAGGTATTTCAATATAGTTCAACAGTCTGAGTCAATACAAGATGCATATTTTACTACTCAATGAACTGACACCAGGATTTCTATAGATACCATGATTCCAGAATATGTTCTTTCTTTACCTCTCTACCTTATTCATCAAAAACACTTTTTAACATTAAAATATGACAGAAATCCCCTCTAGTATTTATCTGGTTTTAAGCACAAACATGCATTTCCATTTGGATCACCACTCAGTTCAACATTCATGACCGCTCATCGGAGAGCAACTAACTTCATCTTATCCTAAGTGCTGATCGAATTCCATTGGTCATTTTGTAAAGTGGCTGCCAGGCTAGGCGGTTCATCATCGCGATGCACTTTGTTAGATGATACTTAGACAGAGGAAATCAACAAGAAACCGTAGACATAGGTTTCATGCTTTATGCCACTTGCCTTCGAGGCGTATCTGAAACCTCGAGGAGACTGATGTCCACTGTGAGATTCAAACCTGCATCGCCCAGTGCTGCGGTCAGAGACGTTACCATTGAGCTATTCGGGCCACAATCGACCTCTTGTAGGACTGGAATAGATAAACTGATTGGTCACTGAAGGGTAACGAACTTCACGTTGTCTAGTCTTAAGTGCTGATCTAACTCTATTTATGAGAATATTACGAGTTAGCACAAACGCATCCCAACAGTGGATTCAAGTTCTGAATAGCACCTCAGCTCTAGCATAAATATATTTCACGGTCTAATACAAAGTGCTGTTGCTATTCACCTATCAATATTCTAAACTAATCTTCATTTTCAATACAAACCCAAAACTTGTTTGACAATCGGTGGATGCTGGCTCTTACTACAAAAGGTCTACCGAACGACACCCAGAGAGTCCAGGATTTATGCACGCATTTTGAACACAGAGCTATCTTCGGCTGTACTAACCCCCATTACTTACTAACAGGGAACGACTGTATTCAGTGGATGACATCAGATATATAAGTACTCCAACAAACAAGTAGGCGTAGTACATAAACGATGCAGCAGTATCTTCATTAATCCAATTCATGAATAGAATATTGAGATAGAACCCTCAACATATACAGAAGTTGAGAAAGCTGTTAACAATTTAAAACGTTAAATTGGCCCACTCGTTTTCAATATAAGAATCTTATCATACGTATTATTTTGTGACTAAATGGAGTCAGCAGAAGTGAAGTAGGCTTAGTTAACTGGTATATCCTCCATATTTTATCTACCACACAATGAGCATCCTCCCAATAAGTACTTGACCTATGAGAAGTGGTTAATTTGCGAACTTTTTCGGCATTCATCACGATTTAATTATGTAACGTTAGTTTGGCAATTCTTAGCACAGTTGGAGAAGGGAATTAAATAACTATGAATTCGAAAGATAAATTGTGAAGCTATGGTAGATTGGAGTAGGCACTTGACATGTTCACAAATTTCCTTGCACCCACCAACATATGAGCAGATATTGAGCGCTACACGACACATATGGTTAACTGTTTAATCCTCAAATTTGTACACGGTTGCTGATTTCAACAAGTCAATTGATTATTTTACGTGAACTGGAACATTCACTCCTGCAATATGCTACATTACAGCCACCAGCATTTCAGAATAAAATAAACCTTGCTGAAAAAGACATTAGAACACTAATTCACAGAATATAACCTTTTTGTGTATTTACTCACCTAAGTGTTAGTTGAAATGAATTCACAGAGTCTTGTCAATGCTTAAACTATACAATCAAAATATAAATTAGCCAGCGACTCTATATACTCACAATCACAACAATAATGAAAGTAGTGATAATAAAAGTGATGAAAAGACAATGACGGTTACGTTATTCTTTTTTTTTACGTAATAAGAATTTCGGAATAAACTCCTTTAATTTGGAGGATAATCTTCCAACCTATAAATTGTACAAATAGAAAACTATTCACATCAGTTTTGATTATACCCTATACAATTGTTAGATGTGCTTTCTAGAGGTAGTGGCTATTACATTCTAGAGTGAAAAGAAAAAATAGAAAAGTCTAAACACAGCAAATTATACAGTCATTAGAGCAAAGTGAAGCAAGTGACCTTTAAAGCTAATCCGGTGCTGAATACTGACGTGACAAACAGTTTTTAATGTGTTTCCTTACACAACAACCGTTAAGTAGCGTAGATATATATATATATATATACTTCAGTCGAACACTAAACAGAAAACTTTTTGTTAATCTAATTAATGTGATATGGATATAAATAAAAGTACATCATTAATATAAACACAGAAGGTTAATTAGTTGATGTAAGAGTTTATTACGAAAAGCGATGACAAACACAATCACATCAAAAAATGCATCTAGGGTGAATGGAGACTGAGCCAACTTAACAAGCTGGTAGTATCGAATTTGGTTGTGTAAAGCTGCTATGTTTGGTCTAAAACTAACAACTCACAGCATAAATCTAGTAAGAAATGAAGCACAGGAAGGTATCAGTAAAATCAGTAGCAAAATTTAACAGTATGTAAATATCAATGATGAATAAATACACGTCAATAGGAAAATAATCAATCGACCACGCACACGTTGGTCAACTAGGCTTCCAGTTGCAAATACTGTGATACGAACCAACTGCTTACACCTTGTGGGGTAGAGGAAGGGCCGAATGGCAATTAGTGGTAGATGGTAGTAAAACAACAGCTCTGACACTTCCAGATTTTTCTCCCAAGATGTAGAAACACTTTTTATTTTATTACTATCAATATTTATTATTATTACCATAACTAAGACACACTTGATACATCATGAGTATCAAAAAATGTGCCATTAAAATAATAAAACAACATTGTGAAGTGACATAAAACGGAAGAAAGAGTGGAAACTAAAATAGAAGTGGTTTATGAAAGAAGCAGTCTCAAAGATACATCCGAAGTAGCATTCACTACTTTCGTTACATTACTGGGCAATAGAAAAAACAGAAAGACTGCAAAATGATCGCAGCGACTATGAGCCATACTTCCATCGTTTCTAGTCAGTGAGTTGCATGATCTCTCGAACCCCACTAAGGCATTTGTAAGACGCCTACATATGGTAGCCTAAAACAACTATTCCTCATCCTACAGAACTCCCTCCTATGCTGGTCACACCTCCCCCTCCCTACCAGTCCCCAGGCAAGTATACTGTGAGCAAAGCAGAAGCTGTTAAGACGACACTATTGAAATATCTCAAGGACTCGGACGACGTTTATCACACTCAAATACATTCCATCTCACCTCAGAATTATTCACATGGTGCTTCCACCCAGTGCCAGCAACCCTATGGAGACAATGGTGGTCTGATATACTGAGTTGTTGGATATCTTCAGCTTGAAAAAGTCAGTATACACAGGCGTAGAGCAGAACTGCTTACGCTGACGTATTATATACCCACCGCCTTATAGAAACGTTAGAACTTCATGACACCCCTAGAGGTGACCCAGGTTGGTGTGTCATTATGGTTTCCGACATACCATTGGAAATATCATCAGTCACACCTCCACCAACACACACAGTAGCTCGCTTACAGAAACAATTCACCACCTATGGTGTCGGTCTTGTAGAAGTACTTTGCACTTCGGTGATGAAAACCACATAACATACTAACAGCCATCGATAGCTAACTAGTTGAGTGTGACTACAGTAGGCTGTATGTTGCCACAGTAAAAACGATATCGTCCACATACTCGACGTTGAAACGTTTTTCACCAGGAGATAGGTCTGCACCACTACCTAGCGCTTTCTTCAAGGCTATCTCCAGAATGTCATCAACGACAAAGTTAAAGGGGACTGGTGTGATTTGGCACACACACGCTTCAATAACAGACAAATTCAGAGTAAAGTTCTGTCCAACAAATCGAAGGCAGACCTAGTATCGAGGAATACAATATTGATCAAACTGTAATACATGTGACGGTGTTCGAGCATCCTGCGGTGGGTGAACACCTGACCATTGCACCAACGACCTGCACGAAAACTGGTCCACTCCTCGCGGATCAGTTCCTCACGCATTTTGCACAGCATGGAAAATAAAATAGTACCCAACACATTAGATGCTACTGGCAGCAGACTGATTTTTTTTTAAAGACGGGTATATTAACGGTTTTGTTTTATAGTGACAGAAGACAGTCTGCCCACCTCCTCAAACAATGTAGTCAGTCTGCTGATTAGTCCCAGGTGTCTGTGGAAGATGGTAATCCACGTACCTTCTGCTTCACAGACCATCTCAATGACATCAGTTTCCATGCTGCAGGTGGCTAGATGAGCTGGAACAGCTTCTGAAGATTACCATGTGCAGCTGCTGTTTCTATCTTATTCATGCACTCTGACCACCACTCCTCAGAATCCTCACATAAATGCCGTCTGATCCGCCTTATATCAGAATTACAAACACCGTTGTACTCATTGCACACCAGAATACACGAGCATCAAGTTGCATAGAGCTAGCAAAGACCCAGTGCTTGTAAGTGCAAGTAATGTTCAGCTGTACATCCTGGAGATGGGATAGCTAACTTTGAATCTAGCTCGGTTTAGTAATTAGTTCTCAACACTAGGTAAAACCACTTTACATTCCTTGACCTGTTTCGGACGACGATTTTGATAATCATCAAAACCCAAGCTGAACTTAGCGCACACTAAACATGATCAGAATTGAGACAGGAATCCCTAAAATACAGCAACATCATCGGTAACTGCTCGCAACATGATATAATTGAGATCAAATTTGAGTAGCCAAAGGGAGGGCACTAGATAGAACAACGAAAATGGCTGTGCCAGAAGTTGGTGCTGGCCAGAAATAGATTGTCATCTGAGTAAAGTTACATAGGACGTTCTTCATTATGTGACCTACAACAGAATAATCCAGATTGGTCGGTAAAACGACTTTTCTCTTAACCTAGACTTCTAGGCCGTGCAGCTAACACTAGGGTATTTGTCGGAGCCACTTACTTGATGATAGAGCCTGTCCACAACTGCATCCGATCTGCAGTCAATCAAAGCATAGGCAGAGATGACAAAGAGACATCGTTTCCCTTGCCAGTTACTTCTCATTCCAATCAAACCTCCTAGCCTATATATATATATATATATATATATATATATATATATATATATATATATATATATATGTCTACTCACACTCAATAAATGCGCAGTTTTTCGTTAATCCCACTTATTTGATATGCCTAACTGAATAAATTTACCTTAAGAATGTGCATTATGCACATAAGGCATAGCTAATAAAATTTTAGAGTCAGATTGACGTGTAATACAGTATGCAATTTGGCATAATGGCACATCTATCTAGGTAGCTATACTTCACATCAGTACACAAAGGTATGGTAAACAAAATGAAAGGCCAGAAATGTAGTAAATGGAAGTACCAGTAATCGTGAGGACGAATAGAAAGAAGAAAGAAAAGGTAGTAAAAAAAGCCTCACTCAATTAATTCCAATCATAGGAGGCGGTTGCATTTACATTAAAAATAGGGTAAACTATAGGTACAGCTAAATAAAATGTGATTGCGTGGCGCTAGTCACAAATCAGCTGCATAATACGAAGTAGTAAAATCTTGAGGGTAGGATACTGCACTAAACTGATTAAAAAACACCTGAAGAAACTCCACTCCTTACAAAACGATACACCGAGGATCACTATGCAAACCTGTGACCAGACAAAGATACAAGGCGAGTAGCAGTTATTTTAGGGTTGCAGAAAAACAATGTTCTTCAGCAGTATTCAATACCCGACCGTTAGCTGCTACCTTGACGTGGTGGTCGGGCTTGCATATCACAATGACCCAACGAGCTATGCTGGTGGAACGCTTGTTCCCTCGAGGTCCTACTATACCAGAAAGAACTGTTGGATAGTGGTTGCACGGAAGCAGTTACCGTTGTGGTGTAAATTACTTCACCATGATAGGGGTCTGAGGGCGAAGTCGTACTGCTGCTAGCTGGATGGGGTGTGACAGCGCAAAGGTGTTTCCTTTGGATGACCAGCAGTGCCATGCTGATGCTGCTTTATAAGTGGAAGGGAGGGTTAGAAAAGATCGACCCCGAAAATAACACACTCCACCATGCCCCACGGTCTGCCAGGCCGGCGGTGTTGGTTCATTTGTCGCTTCCTTTCGACCATCCGGCCCCAAAAATACAAAAGTTCAAAATAATTATACTCGAAAGGCTGAGTGTGACGGGCCTCAAGCAGATGTCCGATGGGCTCTGCGGTCACACAAATCTCTTTCAGGTACCTTAAGAAGAAATAGCCTTCAAGAGTGTGGGCAGCCACCCTCGCAGCTCTATCAGCACTCAGGTTTCCTTAGACTACTATCCACCTCCCCCATCATTGCATTCTAATCTTCCTTCACGTCTCTTAATTACCGATACTACATCATCTTCAATTTCTCCTAACTCTGAAGCCTTCTACAATGATCTGAGTCCACAGAACAGCATCCTTGGTCTCCTTAAAACACGCTCCAAATTACATATTCAAGCTTTCAATGTCCTCACCCTCCGTCGAATTGGTCAACAGGCTTCGTTGGCAAAGACTCTAGCAACTCGGGCCATGGATGTGTGCTGTGTTTGTGAGACACGTATACAGGACCCAAGTGCGGTTATTCATCTGACCTCTTCCGACCGGTCTGGTGAATCCGCAGAAACGAGGAAGGGCGGCAGGACCAGATGCATTAACTCCAGAGGTATACAAGAATGGTGGTAAGGTGCTCTTAGTTAGGTTAACGGAAGTGTTAACCAGCTTAGGAGAATCAAATACGATCCCCTCTGACTGGTCTAAATCACTGATTATCCCAGTCTTCAAGAAAGGCGAGAAGTCCTCTTGTGATAACTACAGAGGAATTAGCCTGACGAATATATTATCTAACACTCTAGGTTCTATAATTCTTCGACGCCTAAGTGGAGCTCGGGAACAGCGAGCCCGAGAAAACCAGGCAGGTTTTAGACCAGGCCGCGGGTGTATCGACCAAGTATTCACACTGCACCAGGTTCTGGAACATAGGCACGCCTACCAACGCCCGACAATAGCTGTATTTCTCGATCTGATGGCAGCATTCGACTCCGTTGATCGAGAAGTCTTATGGCAATGTCTCTCAGCGAAAGGCGTGACGAGCAAGTACATCATTTTATTGAGGGCTCTCTACTCGAGCATGTGGGCGTGTTAGAGGATGTAGTGAGATGTCCAGGGTAATATGCTCATCGAGTGGTGTCCGTCAAGTATGCCCACTGTCTCCATTCTTATTCAATTTTATCATAGATACTCTTATGGAGGTCTTCCTCTTGTCACCTGATTACACGGACGCTGACCTAATCGCAGGAGGATTTTCGTTAGACCCAGAATAAGCAGATGACATAGTCTTGTTGGATGAAGATGCTGACAAGATGCAGAGTCTTTTAAACACTTTGAGTGGGAATTTGAGAATGTTTGGGGTGCGGTTCTTACCACCCAAATGCAAACTGTTGCCCCAGGATTGGTCTTCAACGGTGCCAAGGCTAACAATAGAGAGTGAAGTGGTTGAATGTGTTGACCACTTCACTTACCTGGGAAGTAGGATAAGCCCTGGTGGCTCAGTGGCCGATCAAATCTCGGCACGGATACAAAAGGCTCGGTTGGCTTTCGCCAACTTACGCTACCTATGGTGCCGTCCCAATATCCAATTGACTATTAAGGTTCGTGTATACTGCACAGCAGTCCGGTCTGTTCTACTCTTTGGCTGTGAAACATGGCCATTAAAGGTGGAAGACATGAGAAGGCTTCAGATGTTTGACCACCATTGCCTTCGTCGTATAGGCCGTATTACGTGGTGTCACCAAGTGAGTAACGCAGACGTCAGGCGTAGAGTTTTAGGGAGAAGACGTAAATCAGCTGACGAGGTTATGAACCTTCATCGACTAAGACGGTTGGACACGTATTATATATGTCTAGTCATCGATTGCCTCATCATACAATGTTGGCCGAAGTAGGCCCAGGCTGGAAAAAGGCCCGAGGTGGCCAGACTAAAACATGGCACCAATGTATGAAGTCTCCGACTGTTGGTTTGAGCAATGTGGGGTGGTGCAGACTAGGTGGTGGGGGTCCGCGGGACAAGAGGAACCAGTGGTTGGAGACTTACTCTAGGTGATATGGCTCAGGACCGATGTCAATGGCGCAGATATATCCCCACACACATTACCCTCATCTTAACGATGCTATACCGAATCTCAACATTTTCTCATTCTTCCTTTCTCTCTTTTCGTGTTTTATATTTCTTTTGACTGAATTTCCTTATCTTCACCTTTCACCTCACTGCCTTTTTACTTGATGTACTGATATGAGCTGTGGCAACTCGGACCGTTAAGCAGTAACGCCTGGTTCTATGTTGATATTGATGATGACTCAACACCGCTAACAGATTCTTGAATGAACATGGTGAATACATACTGAAAAACAGGAATGGTAAAAAAACTTGTCTGAATATCAATCAGTTACTTCAGCATCAAGGACTAGACTGTTGCTCTGTTAAAAAGTCACTTAATTTGTATAGGACTAATTCTATGTTTGTAGGACATAAATTACCTTCTAGGTGAGGCGAAATTATAAAGGAAATCTTTTTTCGGGAAAATAATAAAACGTAATGTGTCTGAGTCGTATAATGCGTTTACACAACATGTTCCACAGTCTAGTTACACACATATCTTATATGAGAGACAATGAGAAAATGAAAAAGAGGGAATGAGAAAGTGAAACTGAAGGCCAGAATAGCAACGAAAAACAATAAGGCAAGAATAATATTCAACTGACATAGACTTCAAAGCCGAATTTACTGCTTGTGAACACATGAAGTTGGTTGAAACTTCCTATTGGTTAACACCTGCATAAGCTTAAGAATATGTCCCAAAAATGCCCTACAAACGTCTTATTATTATTTAATGTTACTTCTCAGTAATGTGCTTTGAAATTGAGGGGCTCGAACGCTTTTTACCAGCATTCATGGAGTCAGGAAATTCAGTGTTTTCCCAACCATTTGGAGATATGTTCCCACCGTTCAATCTTATTTATGTTTCATATAAATACCTAAAAACAAGTACATGCATGGTCAGATTCTTCAAAACGTCTTGCAAAATGCATGACACTATTCAGACAAATCAAGTTTTTTTATTGCTTGGCTGAAATTCACAACGGACACTAATTGTTTTGTATCTCTTTTTGCAAGAAAACGAGCTATTTCACGCCAATGTTATATTCACGTGCACGATTGATGTTGCTACTATAAAATATAATCCAATGAAAACTTGGGTACCTCTTCAAAATTTTGTACGAATGGTTGACCAAAAGTTATAGGAGTCTAATATTATCTCTCACTATTGTCGTGAAACAAAAGAGTGAAAAACTCTCAAGAAAACTGCTAGAATGTACTGGGTGCAATTTTATCTGAATGAACGCAGCTCATATACTTGCTATACGCTGCAAAAAATATCTATTTTATGAGGAATTTTCGAATGTTGTAAGGTAAAGCAGAGTTCGGAGTCATAGCCTACCTGTTTGGAGCCCAATCAACTCAATGAGCCCTCATTCTATGGAAAATATAGATAAAGGGGATAGAACTCCATGACAAAAAAAGGAACTGGATGACATTCTGCTGCTTCAATGAAACGCGAATAGATAAAGATAACTCCATCTATAATGAGTCATACCTGAAAGTAAACTTACACTCGGTACGTCTTTGATAACGATGACAACAGCCGGTCGAAACCGCTACTTCTTAAATCTTAATTAGGTTGGTGTGGCAGTGACATAAACTTTCCATTGTTTGTAGTACGAAAAATATTTTACAATATCTAATATCAGTGTGATTATCTTAGATAGACGTGGTTTGGAAGACTCGTTTAGATGATAATGGATGATGATTGGAGACGAAATGAAAATCTTCAATTATCACCCAGTATCAAGTATTCTTTAGTAAAAAAAACACCTAGTACAGTATACACTTTTATTTTTCGGGTCTTTAACACAACGTCAACACATGGGCACCAAGCAATACGCCAAACGAAATAGCAATGAAGACAAAAAGGAGAAGAAAGATAGAGAGTAACAGAATGACCAACGAGAGAATACCAGTCGTTTAACATACAGCCAGAAAGCTTTAACCAATGTTTTATCAATCTAAATATTAAAAAAGAAAACAGCCTACCTGTTTGGAGCCCAATCAACTCAATGAGCCCTCATTCTATGGAAAATATAGATAAAGGGGATAGAACTCCATGACAAAAAAAGGAACTGGATGACATTCTGCTGCTTCAATGAAACGCGAATAGATAAAGATAACTCCATCTATAATGAGTCATACCTGAAAGTAAACTTACACTCGGTACGTCTTTGATAACGATGACAACAGCCGGTCGAAACCGCTACTTCTTAAATCTTAATTAGGTTGGTGTGGCAGTGACATAAACTTTCCATTGTTTGTAGTACGAAAAATATTTTACAATATCTAATATCAGTGTGGTTATCTTAGATAGACGTGGTTTGGAAGACTCGTTTAGATGATAATGGATGATGATTGGAGACGAAATGAAAATCTTCAATTATCACCCAGTATCAAGTATTCTTTAGTAAAAAAAACACCTAGTACAGTATACACTTTTATTTTTCGGGTCTTTAACACAACGTCAACACATGGGCACCAAGCAATACGCCAAACGAAATAGCAATGAAGACAAAAAGGAGAAGAAAGATAGAGAGTAACAGAATGACCAACGAGAGAATACCAGTCGTTTAACATACAGCCAGAAAGCTTTAACCAATGTTTTATCAATCTAAATATTAAAAAAAGAAAACAGCCTACAGTATGACCACTACTGTCTTCAATTCCAGCTCATCTGATAGCAACTTCAGTCACTGAATCACGTGATCTATGTTCGGGTCTGAACCCCCCCCCCCTTACGAAGCTGCACGGCACTAACAGATGCTAATCACAGGCAACTACTGCAAACTGATCATATGATCAATTGTTTTAATCAGCTCAATGGAGAGTGAACAATAACTACATACTTTAAACACGCATATAAAAACACTATTTCAAGAAGACGTCACACGCTGCCAAAGCTGTGACTATTTACATGGACTACCACTATGCCCAAGCGTTCTTACAGGTAGTGATTGAACACAAAACCAATCCAACGTCATCAACTTTGGAAGGTCCGATTTTACATTCTTACAAACAAACTTAGAGCACTGAAAGAACTGTAAAACTAACGTATTACATTCAGAACAACGTCACAATGTTGCTCAAAGTAATCCAGATTAGTGCATGTCACTCTGAGTCTGCATAAACGGCCAGAAATCTCATCAGTCACAACCTCATTAGCACTTACAGAAACAAATAAATAAAATACTTTTCCACACTTCTTGTAGTGAGAAGTAAGGGGTAATTGCAGGCAAAGACTCATGCTAATCTTGCCAGAATATTTTGAACTTGCATGATGCGAAGCAGATTCAATACTTATGAACACAACTGTACATAATCTCTTCGCTAATCGTGTGAACACTAAATGCTATGGTTGGTCACTTATTTATCATTGACATTATAGAAATAAAGACATCTGCGGTTAAAAGCTCTCCCGAAATAAGAAAGCAAGGTAACTACCTTCAAATGAGAATAAGCATATGAAAACTAGTCCGCCAAATCACGGCTATCTCAGATAGTCAAAATGGTATGAAAACTTACTTACCGACAGAATACTCACCTTGAAAGGTTCACTATAACCCTGGGGACAATGCTTGTTACGACTCATATAAACAAGGCAAAATGACTGACCAGCTAGGTCTTTTAGCCGATTTGATTCAATTTTAGCTTTGTAGAAGGATTCTTGAAATTTTGCTGCATTTGAAGACTGTAACAAAGCTGAAGAAACTGAATTTTTCCGAGTTTTCGTTTGAGATACACTGCTCGATGCATATACATAAGTGATATAATCTCTTTCTAGGTCTGCGAATTCTGCTGGATAAAGAGCTATCCAGTCAAATGACGTTGTTTGTAGACTTGGAGGAGCCAATGGACTCATATCGTCATTTGCCTTTTCCGATTTCCCCGGGCTCATAGACTTCACTGGAGCGTTGAATAAGAGCAGTTTGGCGAAGTCGGAAACTGGAAAGCACTCTTTAGGTGAAAGTACCAAGTTTGTTTCTGAAAGTCTCAACAGTCCAGGAGGATCAAGAATTCGGTAAGATATTTCCAAATTGGCGTAACATGGATGCGCTAGATTTAATAAATAACAAATTAATTAGGTTTGCAAAAAGCAGGAAACTCAAACAAAAGCTTATTTCTGAAAATGTAGAAGGGAATATTAATGTACCTGTAGCTAATACCATTATTCTTTTCCGTATTTACTGTCAAATCAAATACAAAGGTGAGTACAACTGAAATGGAGTAACTCACTCACATGCATATATAACATGAGAAATAATGAGTGAATCGTCGCATCCGTTAATTTTGCACTATAAAAACTTAGTGGACTACAATAGTCAATCCTAAATTACGTTTCCAGTACATTTGGACATTTTAGGTATAGAAAATCACAAATTTGTTTGTGAAAACACAGTTAGACCGGATGCAAACCGAACAACTTTTGGAGGCATATGATTAATATTAGGCACTTGATGAACCGTTAATCCCAAGTAGAACTACCCAGTGCAGAAAACATCTAAACAATTTTTTGCTGCACACTAATTCCGTTTTCGAACTGACATTGCAAACAGAAACACAATAATGCATGAAAGACAACAGTTACCTATGAATTCCCGTTTGTGACGACATTTTGAAACATCCCTACCAAAATTTATAAGTTTGGCGAATGCACTGAATCAATGCAGTTCAAACCGGTTGATGTTTATCTGCTAGACCGCTAGGCTACTTATGTGTAAATTCTTACGAAATAACTCGGTTGCTCAGACAAAGTAGGTAAAGTGAGATTAAAACGGGATTAATTCCTAGATAATCGAGTGATTAAGACATTGGGCTATAGATCTTCAACATTCAGCTGGGCCGTTTTATTGTTAAACACTCATCCAAGGATGGATTCATTGCGGAATCTCGTTTGTTAGAAACACGAGGTGCAATCTAATGTCACTGGAAAAAAGTACATCACCTAACTGTGACTTTATTTCAATCGACTACCAAAACCATGCCTCCAACAAATGCAGAAAAATATATATGTGATGGAAACATCATCAAACACCTTCCTACCGTGTGTATTTGAGATGAATGTGTCGCACATTAAGCACAAATATATGCTTTTTATTTTTACTTTTGATGACACTTTTTCCCCGGTCGAATTTACATCTTGCATGGTGAGTGCTAAGAAACGCATAAAAGCTTCTATTAAGCCACGCGCATTTTAATGCAATAGGTTATGACCCAGGTCCATTGTATGACGGCTAATGATGCTACTTAACTGACCAAACCTAGGTAGGTGGAAAAGAGTCAGAACTTGTGACACATTGGAACAGGTCATCAGACAGATTAAGCATCTTCTGTTAATTGCCTCCCACTACCCAATGGCTGGATGAGGAAAAATATCGTTTTAATGGAAAATGAATTGTTAATCAACAAATAACTGTATAAAGATGACTTCAATGTTTCTTGCTAATACTCACTAAAACAAGTCACTCAGCCTCCGAAAATGGTATGTATCATGCAATAATTTATCCCAGCAACTGTGTTCAGTACCACGATCATTTTTCTCACTGATTTTAAGGCTGCCTGTTTAAAAACCTATGTGCGATACATAACAGTACTACTTTCAATCATCACAAGTTCATGAACTCATTTCAGACATACCAACTACGTGAAGACTAACTATGTTCTCCGGCTGCATAAACTGTAAAAGGTGAATGCTAAGGAGCATGGTAATTTCAGAAGATGCATTTCCATACGTTTGTACTTCAAGGAGCCCATAAATTAAAAAAATTCCCTAACGATATTAACATTGACAAAAACATGTTACACGAGTTTAAATCACTCGAAAACAACAGTTCAAAATGTAATTCATTGGGATCAAAACTAGCACAGGTGTTTATATATTCGTTTATGACCCTTACTTACTGTATGGGCTTAATACCCTCAATTTCCCCAAACTGAAGTAGTTCGAAATGGCCTTCACTTTAAAAGACAATGGTCGAAAGTCAGACAAGTCCCAGCTCCAACGTCCACAACGTATGAAAAAACTGGTAAATTGAGCCCAATATTTCATGGATGCCTGAACATGTAATATACACTTAAACCAGAAATTTCTAGCGAAATAAATGCAAAGTAATGAAGATCCAACTATTATTATTATTATTAGTCCTTTGGGTTCCTAGTGGAATATAGGGCTTCAGTAGCACGTCTCCATTCCACTCTGTTCTCTGAGATCTTTTGAACCTGGTTCCACGACAGCCCACAAGCTCTCATTTCCTCCTCGCACCATCTCCTCAATGTCACCCTCCGGACGTCCAACTCGTCGCTTCCCATGGGGATTCCACTCGAGGGCCTGGCGTGTGATGTCCTCAGTCGGCCTTCTCAGTGCATGGCCAATCCATCTCCACTTCTTCCTGCATATTTGTTGCGTGATAGGTTCTTGGTTGGTTCGTTCCCAGAGTTCCTTGTTGCTTATTTTTTCTGGCCATCTGATCTTCAGCAGCGAGCGTAAGCAGTTGTTGATGAATGTCTGTAGTTTATTGGAAATGCCTTTCGTGACGCGCCAAGTCTCTGAGCCATACAAGAGCACTGACTTGACGTTGGTGTTGAAAATCCGTATCTTGTTCCACATGCTGAGTGCAGAAGATCTCCACACTGGTTTCAGGCTAATGAACGCCTGTCTTGCTTTTCCGATTCTGACTTTGACGTCCTCGTCCGTCCCGCCTGTAGTTGAAACAGTGCTTCCTAGATAAGTGAAGGAGGTTACTTCCTTCAAGTTTCTCCCGTTGACGGTGATTGGAGTTTGTTGTTGTTGTTGGAGGTGTTGGTGCGGTATCTTCATCACTTCTGTCTTCTCTATATTCACCTGAAGTCCCGTCTTAGCTGCCTCTTCTGTCAACTTGTTAGTTTTTGCCTGCAGATCTTCAAGTTTATGTGACATTAGGCATAAGTCATCGGCGAAATCCAAGTCTTCTAGGTTCTTTTCCGTCGTCCAGTGTATCCCCCTCTTCTCGCTGCCTACTGTTTGCTGCATGATCCAGTCCACCACAATAAGGAATATCATGGGGGATAGTAGGCAACCTTGTTTCACTCCTGTCTTCACTTCAAAGGCATCACTGAGCTTCCCATTGTGGATTACTTGGCATGTGGCATCTTCATATAGTTGTTGAATGAGGCGGATAAAGGTTTGCGGTACTCCGTAGTATTGAAGCAGTTTCCAAATTACTTCTCGGTCGACGCTGTCAAAGGCCTTCTCAAAGTCGATGAAGTTGAGGTAGAGAGCTGATTGCCATTCTACGCTCTGTTCTATGATGATACGAAGCGTTGCAATTTGGTCAGCACATGATTTGTACTTCCTGAAGCCTGCCTGTTCCGGTCGCAGTTTTGAATCCAGTGCGTCTTTAAGCCTCTCCAGGATGATGCGGCTTAATATTTTACTTGGGGTGGATAGGAGAGTGATTCCGCGCCAGTTCTTGCAAGCACTGAGGTCTCCCTTCTTCGGCAGTTTGACAAGGTAACCCTTCTTCCAATCGTCAGGTACCTTCTCTTCCCTCCACACCTTCTGCAATAGTGGTGTGAGCATGTCCGCTGTTGTCTCTGCATCTGTTCTCAGTGCTTCTGGCGGTATTCCATCTGGTCCTGCTGCTTTCCCGCATTTCAGTAGCTTTATGGCGTTCAGGACTTCCATTTTCGTTGGGGGATTTATGTTCACTTGTAATTCAGCGGCTGCAGGTGGTATTTCTGGACGAAGTGCAGGTGGTGGTCGATTCAAGAGCTTCTTGAAGTGGTCGGCCCATCGTTTCCTCTGTTTCTCTTCTTTTGTAATTAAATTTCCTTCTTCATCTTTTATTGGTTTCATCTGTGTTGGTCTCTTCCCTGATAGCAACCTGGTTATTTGATACAATGTCGTCAGGTCTCTCTTACCTGCAGCCTGTTCTGCTTCACTTGCCAGTGTTCGTAGAAGTGTCTTTTGTCTTTGCGTGCACTCTTCTTCACTTCTTTATCCAGTGTTTTATACATTGTGCTCAGTTCCTCTTGTCGTTGAGCATCCTTGCACTGGTTTATCTTCTGCTTCACCATCCTCCTCTCCTCTATCAGCTTCCAGGTATCCGTCGAGATCCATTCCTTGTCTTCTTTCTTCTTCCTTCCTAATACTGTTGTGCAGGTTTCTTTCCACATAGCTTTCAAAGACTTCCAGTGTTCTTCTACACAGGTTTCTTCAGGGATGTCCCTCGATGTCTCCCATTTTGTCTTGATGGCTGGCTGCCTTGAAGATCTCCTTTGTAGTTTCATCCTTCAGTTTCCGAGTGTTGTACTTGAATTGAGGTCTATCACCAGCTTCCTTGAAGGCTTTTAACTTGATTTGGAAGGTTCCTTGCACTAGATAGTGGTCTGAACCTACATCTGCTCCTCTTCTTGACCTTGTGTTAAGTAGACTGCGTCTCCATTTTCTTGAGATTGAGATAAAGTCGATTTGATTTTTAGTGTGTCCATCTGGTGAAGTCCATGTCGCTTTGTGGATATCCTTGTGCCTGAACACACTGCCTCCAATCACCAAATCGTTGAATGCACAGAATTCTGCAAACAATTCTCCATTCTCATTCATTTCACCTAGCGCCTCTCGACCCATGGTTAGTTCTCTTCCCGTGTTGTCCCCTCCCAGTTTGGCATTCATGTCGCCCATTAGAATTTTGATATCGCCAACTGACGTCTTGTCCAGTGTTGACTGAAGTTGTCTGTAGAAATCCTCCTTTTTCTCTTGCTCTGCATTATTTGTAGGTGCATAACATTGTATGATTGTGACCTTTCTTCCTTTTGAGTTGAATCTTGCTGTCATGATCCTGGAGGAGATTGGTTCCCACTGCATGAGAGCCTTCGATGCTCTTGAGGACATCATGATAGCCACTCCCTCAGTGTGCTCGTGGTTGGCGTCTGGGTGACCGGAGTAGATTATTGATTCTCCAGTTGACAGTTTGGAGAGTCCACTCCCATTCCATCTGCTTTCGCAAATCCCAAGCACTTCGATGTTATACCTTCTCATCTCCTTTGCAATCTGGGCTGCCTTACTGGGTTCAAACATCGTGCGGACATTCCATGTCCCCACGTTTACTTTCGCTTTCATCGAGAGAAGACACATCGGCCAATTGGCTTCCCGAAGGCTTTCACCAACTGGCGTCATTTCGCCTCTCCGATTCCAGCGGGGAATAAGTTTGTTTTCATTTTTTATATTTTGTTTGTGCTTTGAAGTTTCTTTAGCGGTTAGATTTGTTTTACGGGGTAGGGTTGCTAGCCCTATGCCCAACCTTCCCTCTTTACCCGGGCTTAGGACCGGCTAGTAACTAGTAAACTAGTTAACCAGGCGAGGTTGAAGATCCAACTAGAGATCTGTTAAATCAGAAATGCAACTCAACTTCATGTATGCTTTTATTTACCAGGTTATGAACCACACTTTCGTAAGCACTTACTACTCTGTTACTTGTGCTACAGTATTTTTCTAAATAGGTCAGAATCCAACAAACCAAGAAACTCAGTAGTGGGCGCAATCCAATTCACATACGAAGTATGAGACGAACAAAGAGAATCAGCTATGTTGGATTGCAGGATGAAATGAAAGACAGCCAGTGGTTTGGATACTACCATCTACAGGGACCGACATATTCTAACAGATGTCTAGACCTGGGGTCATTTCATTCAATGTCAGCTAAGGCGGGTTGGACCAAATGTCCAAATAATAGAGCTGAAAAACTCACTAGTCAATGGGAGGATTTGAACAAGCAATTGAAACACATAAAAGAACCATTAATAATTAGTAACTATTCTCTACAGCTTATTAGCAAATTTGTACGAATACATGAAAAATAAAATAATAGCAATAATATGAATAATAGCGACAACACCAGTGCAAAGGAGTTCAAAACCTTTATTGTGTTACCATATAACGAAGGAACATCAGGAGCTTTATTTGTTATTCTCAACAAGGCTGGAATTAGGGTGGTATTTAAACCTGCAAACTCACTCAGAGATAAGCTTTGTCGGCTTAAGGATCCGACAGATCCAGTTGAGCAAAATAATCTAATCTATCTAATTCCATGTAGTGATTGCGACGTCAAGTACGTAGGTCAAACTAGCCGGTCGAGGTAAGTTAGAATAGCCGAACATAGGAATTCAGCTAAATATGGAATGACAGACCCCAATAGGATCAATAATCCGCTATTGCAGTGCATGCATTAACACATAACCACACAATAGGGTTGGATGAGACCACTGTACTTAATCCGAATATAACCAGATGGAGAGAGAGATTGGTTACTGAGTCTTTATTCACTGAATTAACACCCTATACATGTAATAAGAATAACGCAACAACTATACCAGATATACGGAAAAATTTACTACCAATAAAGACAAAGAATACGAAGTGACAAGACTATAAAAATCAGATGTCGAAAGTGGTGTCTATGACTATGAGCAACAATTTATGCTCGAACAGTCATCAAGTAAATAATACTGTATCACTGTGTGCTGTATACCAAATAAACAATTTAATATGGAACTACATTCTACCATCGAATCCAAGTCCTACACATATCACATACTTCGCACACAATAATTTTACGTGAAATCTGATACATATACAACTTAATTGGAACAGACATACCTTTGCCACCAGGTTCTTCAAATTTAACGGGTAAACTGAACCATCTGGGAGGTACGGACAATTTAAAAACTGCAATAACCGGTCGATGATCTGATGTTTTATATTCATTGAGACTAGTATAGTTAAGCAAAACGGCTTCAGGATGCTGTCTTCTTTTAATAGACTCGTTTGATGGGAACTTTTCTTCCATTTGTGACGGTGGTACTCGGACAGGTAACCGACGAGATGGACTAGATGATCGTTGCTGTTCAGTTCGTGGAAGATTAAGGTGATGATCCAGAGCGAAATCTCGATGGACCATATATAATATTCGATCTGTCCATGCAGGAATCCGTTGCTTTTTGCTGAAGTCGGAAATATTCGGCATCGTAATAACATAGAAGTACATGAAATATATGAAAACGACTACAGGCGTTTATAAATTCCCGTCGCTACATTACTAGACATGAGATAACATACAAACCAAACAGCTTTACTTATATGCATATCAACGCGTAAAGTATAAACGGACTTTCAACTGATCACTAAGTGAAACTAGTGAAAGATGGTAGAAAAAGCAAGGAACTTAAACCAGACGAACAGGTTCGCCTATCTACAAAGTAAAAATGCGCTCATCGTAATTAGCTTAAATGAGTCACATATGAAATCATATTCTTAATAAATATGGAGATAACTGTGATACTACATCACACAAAAATGTACACTAGGACGGAAAAACGAGTGACTCACTACTATAGTTGATTTAAACAGCAGTAATTTCGAAACAGTCTAGCACTTTCCCCCGTTAACCTGATTTACACTAATGAGGCTATTAAACCTAAACTGCGCTTTATAAGATCTGCATTTGTCATGAAGCATAAAGTTGTGTAAAAATAATCAAAACTCGGAAAGCACTGTGTATTTTGCTGAGCTGCTAAAATCTAGACAGAAAACTAATGACTAACACAGTTCAATGGGGATATGTTATTTTAAGTGAGATTCGCTAAAAGTACTAAAAAACATGAAAACGTATTTTGAAACAGTATTTCACATTGATTACCTACTATCGTAAGTATCTGTACCTTTGTCAAACTTGAAGGTTGGAGGGAAGGATATTGTACCTTCACAGAAGTCATGAAATAACAGTTTGTCATTTTTCATTGTTGTAAGCTGAAATAAAGATTTAGGTGGTATTACAGTACTTGATCATGCTGTAAGAGTTCACAGTAACGATTTTCTCTTATCATTTCCTCTACTTCATGCTTTTTGAAGTCATCTATGCGGAAATTCAGATCACCCATCCAAAACACATAGCTAGGAAAAATGATTACAGAGTAATTAGAAATTACTCATGATCTAAAATGACATTCACATCTTCGTCTCTGAAACTTTGATGGTCGATAATATCGAAATAATCCTGCAGCAGGTTAATAGTGTAGAGATAACTTACATTTAGACGATCCCGTTTGTTTTCCATATGCGCGGTAAAGTGACATGAAAGGAATATCATGTTTATTCCACAGAGTTCAAACCTTGCACTAACCCCTCCCTTATTACCCTTTAAACTATTAGATTCCTTGTGTTAAAAACAAACCATCACACCGGCGTATCCTGAGGCAGTAACCTCTGATTCAATGTTCGTGACTGCAGGTAAGAGATTTCGCTTCAAGAATGCGAATATCCAAATTGCCCAGCAGTTTCGAGACTTGATCTAAATTTACATTTACCATCTACCTTTAGTCGCAACCCTTACCAACACATAACCACGAGGATATAAGTGTTCAAGTAGTTTTTGACGCCACGCATCATCTCCAGTAACCTCTTGAAGGCTTATATACAAGTCATAACATGTACATGAACATACGCCACGCTTATGACATCGGGAAGTGGTTTCACATTTAACCCGAGTAAGGGTGAAAGGTCTTCATCTCCAGGCTTTTCATCACCAACATTCCACGTACAACAATGAACACTACAAGAGAAGTAGGAGAGTAAATTTTAAAAAAGTGCTAACGTTAAAGACGGCATTTCATCTAACCATATCGAGCGCAGCAATAGGCCATACAACTAGCCTAAAACTCAGAGTATTCAAACAAATTTGTAAAAATTATAGACAAATCTCCTTGTAATTTATATGTCGAACTGCACACATCGAATTTACTGTGCAATAACTGGGAACGTTACCAAAAAATCAGCAAATGCAGTGTGTTTTGAAAAAACCAAAAATTCGTGCTGTATAAATGGCGAAAACCGTTCTCATTGCATATTCTCAGTATACTGAAATATTTGCTTATATTTACTGCCTTAAGTTCAACGAACGTGGCATACAGCATTCTTGTGTCATGTGACTTTTCCATACTTGAAACATGTATGCAAGCTTAGTTTACATTCGAGACAGCATTCGGAACTTCGAGTATACATTTCACGGATCAGTAAACAGCACTGATCTCTTCAAGCTCACCTCTAGGGTGCGGTGAATAGTTTTACACCCGTGGGGAATTCTTATGCAAAAGATCCGGATATTTGCCTCTTACAGCCCTGGGAGTGGTGACAGGTTATTCATTACCCAACATCTGTTTAACGAGCTTGCGTAAACCAGTTGATTTCTTCTCGCTCACTTCTGGGTCTTGCGGAATGACTGCTGGTCTTTTGTGGATTCCAATGCAGTATATCCAGCCACTCGTCTCCTATGGCCCTGGTGTACAGAACAGGAACTATCTTTATTCCTGTGAAGACAGTGTTTTTTGCTAAGATAGATTCTGCTTTGATGAACGCGTCCTCTTCTATCTGTGATTTAAATTGAAAGCGTATCGGGCAGCAGTGGTCCTGCTGGCTCTTCTTTAGTCGGAAACATTTTGCTAGGACATCATGCATTTTCGCTGTTCTAAGCAAAATTTCTCGCACCGCCTTCAACTTCGTCGTGTCAGGGACGTTATAAACTATTGCGTTCAATTTAAGTGCAAGTCTCTTACTTACTTCAGTGGTGATAAAGTTTACCAGGTGATCTACTTTGGATAGTGTTTCGATGTCAACTTCATTAATGGATTCACTACGCCTCAGGATGCTCAGTGGCAAGAGGTCACTAATCTGAGCTCTAATTTCATCTAGCTGGGGTGACACCTGGAACGCCCTTAACATACTTCATTGTGGTGCATTATTCTGTTTGTCATCTTTTAGCCTGCGTATTTCTGCTTTTAGTTCCTCTATGGAGGACTTCAAGCTTTCGATTTCTGGAAGAAGTGACAATGACACACTCGGTGGCTGAAGTCTAGTTGGTCTAACAAAAGATGCGGAGCTTCCATTAAGCTTTACGTCTTCTGCAACATTTAGTGTTGCGGTATTATTACATATTGGGCATGCAGAGGTACTTCTATTATTATTAAAGATGGCTGTCTTATCGAACGCAGTTCTTTTCCTCTTGAGCATAACTGGAGTATAAGCTGACTCACTTATGCTGTTGCAAGAGGAATCTGCTTTTGGTGTCACCAACATTTGGGTATTGTTGATGCACTGCTCCACAGATAGTTGTATCCGTACCCTTTTACATGCATTAGCCATATCTAGTTGCATGTCTGATTTGTGATTAGTCATTTGAGAATTCAGTAGCTTCATGATGACGTTAATAACAAAGTTATGATACAGTTACGAAATCACGTTAAAATGTAACACATTTTCAGACCTACCGCTTTGGTCAGTTAGCCTTGGATTGTGGTGCAGTCGGCTTCTTCAGATATTCGGCTGCCATTCAGTTCGGACTGGTCACCAGAGAGAGTTAGAGATGGTGGAGAGGAAACCCAAAACGACAAAGTTATGTGAATATAAGGCAGATAAAAGTGAACTACTGGGGCAATCTACTTACACCTAAGTAAGACGATAGGATGCAAAGATACGCAGAACCTAGGTAGGTGGGGCTAATCCTGAGCGAGTGAGAGGGACGAAAAGGGCTTGAACGATTACAGTGGAAAAAACTGGTTTTAGAGGTAAAATAATTGTAGTAGTGTGACATCAGTTAATTTCTTCTGTTTACTTCGTGTCCCAGTTATATGTGGGTAGACCGTGGGCCTCTGCGTGACTGTGAAGTTTCTTCTTGAAGCTTTCAATAGATGGGGCGGAGACTACCTCTGCTGGTAATGCGCTCCAGTGCCCGCGGACATGGAGGGAGAAGTCTGAACGCATATGGGCTTCTGAATCTTGATGGGCGATTCTCTTAGGGTTTCCACGAGGATCACCATAGTGGCCACTCGGTGGTGATCTTCTGTTCGGGTGACTTGGGTTGTTCAGTATTTTGCAAGCCATCATCAAGTCGCCTCGTAATCTTCGGTAGCCAGGAAAGTATAGCCGTAGGTCCTTCAGTTTATCCTCATATGGCTTTCGTTGCATCCCAACAAACTCTTTTGTGGCTCGCCTCTGAACTTTCGCCAGTAGGTTCGTGCTATTTTCAGCTGTGTTGAAGCGAAGACGTTATGGACATCAGGAAGGGTTCTGGTGTGAGGGCACCTAATCATCTGTGCTCAAATTGTAGTACATCGTATGCTTTTGAGGCATCACCTTGGTAAGTAGAACCGGTGTCCAGTTTCTCCCTCGCCGTTAAACCCAGCTCTTTTTCTGCTGTGGTATGGTATAGACGTGAGCCGCAGAGACAGCAGGATACTTTCCGGGGATCAGGAGTGCGAGAAAACATGGACCGACAATTATCCGCATCAAAATGCCAGTTCGTTATTTGTTGCCCATTCCACTAGTTTTTTGAGGTGGTTCTCTAATGCACTCATTTCCGCTTCGCAAGCTACTGCCCTCCATAACTTGATGCCATAAGGGTAGGGGTATCACGGTATGCCCTTTTCAGAGGAATGTTAGGCAGTGTCTGGATACTGCTGCTCATGTGAAAACAATGGAACCACGTACTGCCACACACTTCCCCAAAATCAACAGCCTAGGGTTTGACGACATTCGGCGTTGATGCTGACCTTGATAGTTTAGCTGGACTCGCTAAGCTGAAGGTATCCGGTCAAGCATCCTCGCCACTTGGCACGCTGTCGTGTTACGTTGCACTGCTGGTATTCGACTCTCTAGCCAGTTGGTTGGAACGCATCGGTACCTTGGCACAACCATCCAAATATACTATTCCATCCGACTACGCTATCGTGTGGGTATCGTGAGTACATAGCAAGTTCGAATAATCAGTGACCGGTCTTTGCGCCTGTCAAGTTCGCACCAGGACAAATCCCAAGTCGGTGACCCTGACGTGACCACATATCCCGACCAACAACGGATATTAAATTGGTGAGCCCGTTCCATTTTATATTCTTATGTTGTTTTCATTTCGATGACATTTATATATCTATTTACTACACTTTCTCATATCCGACCACACTCCCAAGCTTATTCGTGTTAAGCCGACTACGAACACGATCCAGCTAGTGCCATATTGGCCAGACGATCCAGAAACATGGTTTCTGTATGCCGAGGCAGATTTTCGAGAACAGGGCGTCTCAGATCCTCATTCTCGATTTCTTGCCGTCATGCGTTCACTACCGTGGGAATTAAGCAGGCATGTAACAACGCATATGTTTAGTCCTGAGGTAAGTGATCCTTATGCACTCCTCACAGCCGCACTCCTGAAGAAAAGCGATCTCACAGATCGCCAGCGCCTAGACGAATTACTTCGTAACATCGAGCTAGGCAGCCACTCAGCTACTGAAGTCCTCGCACGCATGCGAGAAGTAATCGGTGCACGAACATTCGACGATGGCCTTTTCCGAGAACTATTTCTCTCAAGACTACCACAGCCGGTGCAAACCGTGTTGGTTACACTTCAGTTAGCCCCACTCGATGACCTGGCAGCCTCGGCAGATAAAATACTGGAGATTTCTAGCAGGCCCGTCTCCAGCGTATAGTCGTTCTGCGGCGACCAGAGGGCCAGGATTCAGAGGTGACCAAGCTGTGCAACTCTGCTAAACGGTTGCTACGATCTTGGAGTCCTAGTCCACGTAGAACACCACAGAAACGCATCTTAGTGCATCGCAGCAACTCGCGTGGTTGCCCCAAAACTGAACCTAACAGGGTGGAAAACCCTGAGTGGTGCTGGTTTCATAATACTTATGGAGACGAAGCCAGAAAATGTCAAAAATCATGCAGTTTTAACAAGGGCACTAACTCGGGAAACGGTCACGCCGGCACGTGTTCACAGTAACCGTAGTCGGCGGGAACGGCCGTTTGCTCCGTATCACGGATACTAAAGCGAAAGTTCGCTACCCCGTCGAAACTGGCGCAGAAGTTGGCGTCCTTCTCGCACCAACAAAGGAGCGTCATCGTGACCCGTCCTTCAATCTCCAAGCAGCCAACAGCAAGGCGATAGTGACATTTGGGAGACGGTATGCCTACCTCAACTTAGGTTTGCGTAAACCCATCCACTGGATTTTCCTCCTGGTTAACGTCTCTATGCCCATCATTATCATAGATCTGCTGAACCATTACGATCTACTGGTAGATGCTCGCCGACGACGTCCGACAGATGACAACACAAAGTTATCTGTTGGCAATACCACCTACTTGGGTCCGAGTCAAGCCATCGTTAGAACTAGGCAATCGGGTAACGCGTCTTACCAAGCAGTTTTGGAGAAATATCCAGAGTTGCAGCAACCGAAGCACACTCTTCCGTGCATAACCAGCAATGTTATGCATCACGTCACAACCACAGGTCCACCTGTGGCATCGTAAGCGCGCCGTCTAGCCCCCGATAAGCTCAAAACGGCGAAGAGTGAGTTCGACCACATGCTCGAACTGGGCACTATCAAACCGTCAAACAGTCTTTTTGCATCACCATTGCACATGGTTCTCGAAAGGATAGCAACGACTGGCGTCCAACCGGCGATTACCGAAGGCCTAACGCCAAAACAACCCCGGACTGTTACCCGATACTTCACGTTTATGACCTGATTGCGACGTTATGTGGAATGAACATCTTCTCCAAAATCGATTTAATCAAAGCGTGTAATCAGACGTCTACGGCAGGAGAAGATACCGCGAAAACAGCCATTATTACCCCTTTTGGCCTGTTTGAATTCCTGCA